GGGGGCCCCGGGGGCCCCGCGGGCCCCGAGCCGCAGCTCAGGAGACGCAGACTGCGGCAAAGCCTCGTGCACCGCAGCGGGCTGCGGGTGGACTTGACCAAAGTGCAGCAGCAAACTAAACCCTCTTGGGGGGCCCCCCCCGAGGCCCGCAGGGAGGCCCTGGGCCGGTGGACCCACGAGGTCGAGCTCGAGCTGCACCCCATGCAGATTGCCAGGGTAGGGGGCCCCCGCTTTCGTACCCTTTCTTACTCCCGATTCTTCAAAGGGGGGCCCCCGGGGACTTCAGAGGCCCCAGGGGGCCCCAGGGGGCTCCAGGGGCCCCCGGGGGGCCTCTCAGGGTCTCCCAGGGGGCTTGAGGGCCCCCTGGGGTTCCCGGGGGGCCCTCTGAGGGTTTAAGGGGCCCCCTGGGGGTTTGGGGGGCCCCCGGGGGGTTTGGGTGTGGGCTGTGAGTGGTTTTGTTGTGGGGCGAAGACTGTAGCATTTTTTTAAATAAATAAATAAATAAGTAAATAAATAAATGAATAAATAAATAATAAAACATGCGAAGCAAGTTGTTTTAAACAGACATAAGACAATAAACCGAAGCAAAAACTGCGAAATAACTGCTGCTGCTGCTGCTGCTGCTGCGCTGCACAGGCCGTGCTGCACCTGCAGCAGACCGGAGACCCGCGGCCCCTGTGGTGTCTTTGCTGCACCTTCTTGTCTTTGCTGCGGGAGTTAGCTGCTGCTTTGAATTCTCCGCTGGGGCCCCGGGGCCCCCGGGGGCCCCGGGGGGCCCCCGGGGGGGGCCCCCTGGGGGCCCCCGGGGCCCAGGGGCCCTGGGATGACCTCGAAGAAGTGCAAATGGCAGCAGCAGAAGAAGTTGCTTTTAAACATTATCTTTCGGAGCAGCTGCCTTTGATTGGGGACTACGCCTACAGAGCTGTGGTGCAGCAAATGCTGCAGCAGCAGCGCAGCAGCAGCGCAGCAGCAGCTCCTTCGCTGCAGGACTTTCTGAAGCAGCCCGAAGCAGAATCCAGGTGTCTGTACACCCAAAACAAAACCCACATTTCGGGGCCCTGGATTCCCCACAAAGACGCAGACGGCAGAGTCCACCTCATCGAGCTCAAGCGCTAGCGCAGCAGCAGCAGCAGCTGCTGCTGCTGCTGCTGCTGCTGCTGCTGCTGCTGCTGCAGCAACAACAGCAGCAGCAGCTGCTGCTGAAGATGCAGCAACAGCCGCAGCGGTACCAGCAACAATAGCAGCAGCTCCTGTTTCTGCAGATGCAGCAACAACAGCGGCAGCTGCTGCTGCTGAAGATGCAGCAACAGCAGCAGCGGCAGCAGCAACAATAGCAGGAGCTGCTGCTTCAGTCGCAGCAACAGCTGCAGCGGCAGCAGCTGCAACATTCACCTGCAGTTGCTGCTGCAGATGAAGCAGCTGCAGCTGCAGCTGCTTTTTGCTGCTGCTGCCTGTTTGTGTTTCGAACTTTTGAGCAGTTTGAGAGTGCGAAATTGCGCTGCAGCAACAGCAGCAGCAGCAGCAGAAGCGTTGCATGCGTTAGTGTTTTTGATTTGACAACTTATTATTTAAAAGTAATTTAATTTTTTTCCTATTCTTTTGTTTTCTTTGGGATCTTGAATTAGAGCTTTGCTGCAGGTGAAGTGCCGCAAAAAGCTCTTATTCAAAAATGAATTATTCAAAATTTGCAAAAGTTGATTTTCTTTTTCTAGAAGTTTAATTGCAAGAAGCTGCTGCAGCCCTCGCCTCAGCCCAGCATGTACTGCCACCAGAGTTTTTGTTTCGCGCCATTTTGCTGCTGCTGCTGCTGCTGCTGCTGCTGCTGGTCTTCTCTTCCTCGGTTGCCGAACCAGAACTCGGGGAGTTCTTCCTCTGCATTGTCCTAAAAAAGGCGCAAATGAAGAGAAAATGAAAAATAACTTAATTTAAAAACTTTATTTTTTTGCTGCAGCTTTTTTTTTCGCGCAAGATCGGCAGCTTACCAGTTCAGGTTCTGCATCGGCGGGCTCTGGCGACTTTTGCAACTTTGGCAGAACTTCGAGTTCCAGGGGCAGCAAATCATTTTCTAATTCTTTATTTTTTTTATTTTTATTATTTTCTTTTTTATTTTCGTTTTTATTTCCACTTTTTTTAATTCCATTTCCTCTTTTGCTGCTGGAAAGCGGCGCTGCGGCCGAGAGGTGCCGCAACAGGAAAAGCAAGTCTTGGGTTTCTGCTGCAGTCACGACGGGGCTTTCTGCTTCCTAATTGGAAAAAAATTTGAAATTAATTTCAAATTCATTTTAAATTCATTTTAAATTCATTTTAAATTCATTTCAAATTCATTTTTAATTCAAATTTCGTCACCTGAGAGCCTTCCTGCTCCTCAGGTTCTTCGTTTGCTGCAGCTTCCTCGGCCTCCTCCGATTCAGATTTCTCTGCTGCGGGCTCTTTCTCTGCTGCTGTTGCTGCTGCTGCTGCTGCTGCTTCTGCTGCTTCTGCTGCTGCTTCGCTTTCCTCTTCGGTTTCGGCTTTTTGTGCAGCAAAAGGAGCCGTTTGCTGCTCCTTTTCTTCCAGTTCCTGCTGCTCCTCTTCTTCGCTTTCTTGTGCTGCTGAGAGCACTTTTGCTTCGACAGCGCCCACGGACTGCAGCGCAGCAGGAGGCTCCTCTTCTGCTGCTGCACTTGCTGCTGCTGCTGCTGCGTCTTCGAGCAGCTTTTGGGACTTCTGGTTGATGTGTTTTGCAATTGTCGCCACTCGAGTGGCTTCTTCGGTTTGCTGCTGCTTCTTTTCTGCTTCTGCATGCGCTGCTGCTTGCTCGAGCTGCTGCGCTACGTCTTGGGGCTTTTGAGGGCCTGCTGCTGCTGCAGCAGCAGCAGCAGCAATGAGCGCGTCGAGCTTTTCGCCTGCTGCTGCTGCGTCTGTCTCTGTGGCCGCCACCTCTGCGTCGAGAGCAGCAAGTTCCTGCTGCAGTGCATCTGCTGCTTTCTTTTCTTCGAAGTGGAGAGAGTCTGCAAGTTGCTGCTGCTGCTGCGCGTCTGCTGCTGCAGCTTCGACTCTTTGCTGCTGGAAGTCGCGGGCCCTGTCCTCGTCCCGGCGGTCTGCTGCGAGCAGCTGCTGCAGCTCCTTGCGCGCCGCCTTTTGCTGCTGCAGCAAACGTGAAAGCTTGTGCTGCTGCTAAGATTGCTTCCGCACCTGTTCAGCAGCAAACAAGTCCGACTTGGCTTTTTCCTGCAGCAGCTTTTCCGCAGAAGAGCGATCGGCGAGGCCCGCGAGCGCCGCTGCTGCTGCAGCCCGCAGGGAGGCCTCGGAGAGGCTGCTGCCCCTCTCTAGGGAGCTCCTCAGGGCCTTTCCTGAGTTCAAGTTGGGGCTTTTCGGGGCCTTTTGAAATGCTTTTTCGCGCACCTAATTCCCTCGTCGAGGCCCCCTGAGCAGCAGCAAACTCGCGCATGCACTTGCGCAGCAAAGGCCCAGAGTCTTACTCGCGTCCGAGCCACCTGCTCCACCACTTTGCAGCACTTGGGCGGCGGGCACCGCTTCCGAAACACCAGCCGCCGCCCCCCCAACGCCCCCGCTAGAGGTTCCGAAAGGCCCTGATCCTTCGGCTGCATTAAAGAAAATATTGGGCTGCATGCGAGGGAAAAAAAAAGAAGAAAAAGCGCCGCGAAACGCCCGCGGGAGGCAGCTTTCGCTTCCGGCCACGGCCGGAACCCGCGCGCGGAAAGCTGCCGTTTTCCGCCGGGAAAGCGCTCTTTCGTGCATTCCTGGAAATAAATATTATTCAAAAAAGCTTTTAAACGCATTATAAAGCCATATGAAGGACAAAAGCGCTGCGGCTGTTCAAATGCACACAGTGTTCTTCTGCACGGCGGTTTCACGCGCGCTGCGCTGCGGTGTCCGTACACCTCAACTGAACTCCCGTTCAACTTGCAAAAATGCGAACTTGAACTCTTCATTAAAGTTTAAAGAATTATAAAACAAGAAAGTAGATTTTCCAGAAGCAATGTTTGCAGCCTCAACAGCAGCTTCCCCATTGGAGCAGGAGCAGCAACCACTGTTCTGTACTGATCAGACTGGAACTCTCGCTCTTCAGACCCATAATCCTTCCAAAGTTTTGTTTCTTTTTATCTTTTTTCCAAAATTTGAAATTAAAATCAAAAAAGAAAAATATTTCAAAAAGATTTCCCTTTGCAGTAACGACTGCCTGGCTCGAGTTGTGTGTGAGCGGAGCCGGAACTTGAACTGAGCCTCTCCTGCTGTTTCAACTGAACAGAAGAAGCTGTTGGTTTCATTTTAATGTAAAATAATTAAGCAGAATTAAAATTTAGTTATAAATAAATACATAAATAAATTAAATTTAATTTTGTTTTCGTTTTCTTTTCAACTCTCAGGAAAGCAGCAACACAAGTGACCCCGCGGCCGCTCACCGCTCGCATGCAACTTCACACGAACTTTCTAAAACACTTTGGAAGTCTTTTAATTTTATTTCTTTTTCTTTTAATTTTATTTCTTTTTAAAATGCTTTTATTTTCGTTTCCTTCACTCTAAATTTCCACAAGGGAATGGCTAAGCAACACACACAACAGCAGCAGCAGCAGCAGCAGCAGCAGCAGCAGCAGCGAGAGCCTTCTGTGTTGCTTGAAATAAATCCAACAGAAATTTTCTTTTTTTTAAATTCGCTGCAGCAGCTACAAAGGCAAAATGGGAATCTGCTGCTGCAGCTGAATTTGCATGCAAAGTTTAATGATTTAAAATTAGAAAATGAGAAAGTTGTTTAACAAATAAATGACTCTTTAACATCTAATGGCTTAAAGCTGAGCTGCAGCAGCAGAAAGTTTGGCTTGCTGCAGCTGGGCAAGCAGCTGCTGCAGCAGCTGCTGCAGCTTGACAAGCAGCTGCTGCTGCAGCAACAACAAAATGAATCTAAAGCTGCAGCACCAGCAGCACCTAAAGCAGCTGCAGCAGCAGGCAGCATCTAAAACGAAAGGGATCTAAAGCTGCTGCCGCAGCAGCAAGACCAAAAGCAGCTGCAACACCCTTACAGCAGCAGCAGCAGCAGCAGCAGCAGCTCAGGGGCAAAGAAGGCAACCCTCGCTGCTGAGCTGCTGGTCTCAACTCTGCAGCCGCAAATTCTTCAACCCCCACTTAAGACACAGCCGCAACGCAGCAGCAGCAGCAGCAGCTGCTGCTGCTGCTGCGTTTACAGAGAGCAGCAGAGCCTAGGATCGTCCGCAGCTGCTGCAGTTTAGCTTGCTGTTGCTGCTGCTGCTGCTGCCAGGAGGCGCTGCAGCAAGAGCCACAAAAATGCATTGAAATAAACTCCAACTGAAAGGCTGCTGCTGCAGACTTTTTGCTGCTGCTGCAGGAGCCCCTCATGCTGTCGAGACACTGCAGAAATCCGCACTCAGTCTCCCAACTCTTTTGCTGCTTCTTGCATGCACGCTGCAGCAGCAGCAGCAGCTGCTGCTGCTGCGGTTCTTGCCGCCGCAGCAACTGCTGTTGCTTCCGCTGCAGCAGCTGCTGTTGCTGCTGCGGCAGCAGCTGCTGCTGCACTCCAGACTTCTAAAGTGTCTTGTCTACTACTAGACCACATCCCTGAACTTTACCCTAAACCCTAAACCCTAAACCCTAAAATCTAAACCCTAAGCTCTTAACCCGAGGCCTCCAATGAAAAGAAAAAAAGCCATAAAAGCGGTACATTTATGCTGCTGCAATTCAATGCAGCTTCGATTGTAGACAAAAACCATTTGAGGTCATTGCTGCTGTTGCTGCATCCCATCTGCTGCTGCTGCTGGTGCAGCCGCAGCTGCTGCTGCGGCAGCACAGTAACTGCTGCTATCCCGCTTATCTGCAGCGGATAAAGAAGTCCGAGGCAGGGCCTTGCAAGAGCAAGACACCTTCTGCTGCAGTGCCTGCTGCAGCTGCTGCTGTTGCTGCTGCTGCAGTGTGCAGCGCAGCACCAGGGCTCTCGTCAGCAGCAGCAGCAGCAGTAGCAGGGCCTCTGGGTAACGTTCCCACCAAAGCGAAGTCAACAGGAGTAGGGAATACAATTTGCTGCAGCTGCTGCAGCTGCTGCGCTGCAAGCTGCAGCGGCAGCAAACCCCGACTTGTCCTGAGCAGCAACAGCAGCAGCAGCAGCAGCAGGAAGAAGCAGGCATTAAGCAGACAAAAGTGGACACAGCTGCTGCATGCGGCAGCGCAGCAGCAGCAGCAGCACGGATCCGATCCCCTCGAGCTAAAGAGGCGCGCTCACAAACCCTATTTTAGGGATTGCAGAAGCGCAGTTGAGGAGATAATGAGGGTTTAGGGTTTAGGAAGCTAAGCTGCTGCTGTGCTGCACCTGTGACTTTCTGCATGCACCAGCCGCAGCAGCTGCAGATTTGGTGCCGCAGCACGCAGCAGCGGCACTGTTGCTGCTGCCAGCAGCGGCAGCTGCAGCTGCTGCAGCAGCGGGAGCGGACAGATGCCCCGTTCCTCCGCAGCAGCAGCAGCAGCAACTGCTGCTGCTTCTGCTGCGGCGTCGGTCATCAAGCCGATAGGCGGCCCGGCCTCCATGACCTGCTGCTGCTGCTGCTGCTGCTGCCGCGGCTCGTGCTGCAGCAGCTGCTGCAGCGCAGCAGCAAACAGACCAGTGGTCTGGACCAGCGCTTCGTCGTCGTCGCAGTCCGCGTGAACAGACAAAGACCGCAAAGCGGTGCAGCCCCGCAGCAGCAGCCTGCAGCAGCGCAGCAGCAACACGCAGCAGCCATTTCGCGCGCTGCTGCTGCTGCAGCTGGTGCAGGAGCAGCAGCTGCAGCAGCAGCAGCACCTAGTGCGCCGGCGCCACTGCTGCTGCTGCTGCCGCTGCTGCGTCTATATTCAAACGCTGGACAAGGCGCTAGGATTGAGCTTGCCAGCTTTACTGCTGAGGCGCCAGCTGCTGCTGCTGCTGCAGCAGCAGC